AAGGCCATGAAGTAACTCTAAAAACGGATAAGGAATCAAGTCAGAAGAAGGGAAAGAATTATATGGGGACAGAGTGGCAAAGGATCATTAATTTAGGTATCTACAATTCAGAATTTAAATTTAACTAAAACTATTCAGTAATACTTGCTAGGTGCAAACATTTTAATGCACTGAAAAAACAGAGCCAATTCTAAATAAATTAAAGCAGAAAAAACCCAAGCAGGCTAGAAACTAAGAATATACTTCTCATTTTTGGCAGCAAGAGGAGGTAAAGAGAATTGTCCAGCTTTTTCATAAGGGATTGCAGTAGACCCAACAGATACATCAGTCCTCAAGGGAGACATACTGAAGAAAAAAAATACGAGAGAGAGAAGTCTGATCTAGTGTGTAGCTCCAACAGATCTCCATGAAACCTACACTGATTCACACCCTTAAGACACAGAGCTAAACTGAAAGATAAGTAGGGATCATTAGAGACAGGACTGCAGAAAGTTCAGAGCTAGGTACATGAAGGTGCTTTTGAACACAGGGCATACACCATCCATCTACAACAATTACCCTTCTTATAACTACAGGACTTTTCACTTGATAAAGAAACAGCCCACTGTTGCAAGTGGAAATTGATAATGCCTTAGTGCCTTTGATATAAGTCATAAGAGAAGGCAACACTCTGTGTCAATGGAGCCATTGGTTGCCATAGCTACCATGAAATACACAGCAAACATCAATGCAAAAGCCTGGTTAATGAAATTCTTAACCTGGCTTTTTGGCCTTCAGGATATGCAACCCTTGATGGAGATATTATTCTTGTTGCACTGTAATGCAGCACTAAAACATCTGCTTCCCACATGATTAATTTAACAAATAAGTCAACACACAGCGAGGCATACTCTGAAACAGGACACGGGGGAATGCAATAGCCCAAGTGTAGAGGTTCTCTAGTATATCAAGTTATTGTCTCCAGACTTAAAGGGGAATCAGAACAAGACAGCCATAGAAACAGGATGGTACTCATCAATGACAGATTATTGACTAGTTATACTCTTATTATAACCATATGGAATAGTGCTTTCTTCAAGCTCATTTCATAAACTGTCACGTTTCATTATAACACAAGACCATCTACCAACCAAAACCACTCCAGTCTGAATTTTCCCCTGTCCAACCGCATGGAGTTTTCTTTCTCCAACATATGAACTCACTTGAACTATGAACATATGTCTACTATGAATGCTTTAGAACTGAAGATTTTGCCTTCTTCAGAACATTATTAATTATCTCTGAAGGAGCTGCTAAATTTCATTTGCAAATAGCTAGATACCATATGTCAGACAACTACGAACTATTTTCACCTACTGACACATCAATGGATCTTAAAATCTATTCAACCTTGCCTCAGCTAGAGTTTTTAATACTTTAAGAAGTAGTCACATTTACAAACTTGGATATTTTCTAATGTCTACTTTACATTCTAGTAGATCCGATCAACTGCAATTAACTCAGTCATCAAAAACACTGAAATCTGCATGAAAATCAAAAGGTTCAAAACTGTGACAATCTGATTTTTCTAAGTCAAGTGAGTATTACACAAGGTACCTAAAGCAAATCAACATCCATCTATTATGCTATATTCCAGCCTCTTTTTATAAAATTATCAGAAACAAAAAACTAACGCTCAGTTATCTCTAAAAAGCAAATTATATATTTAATTAGTAGCACAAGATTAAAACACACATCCTCCTACTCCAGACCAAACCATCTCTCGATTTACATTAGCCACCCTAAAGGAAATGAGATGATACTCCAGATTCTAAACTGGAGAGATTTCCTTTGTAGCAGAGCAGTTAACTAAGACTTCTTCAGAAGTGTTTTTTGAGATGCACCAAATAAATAAACTCTGAACATGGAAACCAGATAACAAGAACCAAGAGAAACAAAATATGTTACTATAATATTCGTATACAGTATCTACACAAAATTTTATCTGAGCAGACAGATGGTAGATAAAGTTCATAAGCAGGCTCCACATTTGATTCCCTTGCTATTAATAGAAGCCTAGGCTGTAGTGGCCAAGGTTATATCGGGCTAGACACACTCCAGTTTCCTGAGTCTACCATGAAGGCCTCCCAACTTTAACAGGCAAAGCATTACCTTCGTAATTGTGCAGTTGATTTGTATACACAAAGTTAAATCACCTTATCTAAACATGCTGCATTAAAGTAATTCAAGTCAATAGGTAAAACTCCAAATGTGTTTGCACACAATGTTTTTACATTGGTTTAAGCTTAATTTACTTTGTCTTGCACAGCAAACAAAGTTTCTAGTTCACTTAACTGCAATAACATCAATTCTTATCATCATAAGCAGAAGTGACCTTATGTTAAATGCAGACACTCCATATGCTGTCCTGTATTGTCCTCCTTACATGTCCATGAGAACTGGAAAATCTACTGTTCAATGCCAACTGTTGTTTCTGAACAAATACCATGTAATTCTTTATTTTTAATGATCAAAACTCCTGAAGAGAGCTACTTCACACACAAGACAATTTACTCTCAAATTCTACCATCAAAGGTAATAAGTAGAGTAAATAGAAACAAGGAGAATATCCGTACTCCCTCAGGGTTTGCATCTGTTTACACTGCAAATTTAAGCATTTTTTATTTCTTCTTTATTAAACCATCTTTCTTCAAGAAGAAAACTGTTTAAAATAAGAAAAGTCAACTCTGAAAGCTATAAACTCCAGGATGAAAGTAGTCTCAGAAGACATTTTTAATATTCACCCTAAAGTAGTTCAATTTGTCTGTGCTCTATTAAAATCCTGCCACTAAGGGGAGCCCTAAGTCTATTCCACAATGAACAGTGGAAGAAGTGACATTAAATTTTTTTCCTACTTCTCAAGATCAAGGGGAACTGTTACTTCAGTGATACTGAGGAAAACAGAATCACCAGAAGTTGAAAAAGAACCCACGAAGAAAGAATAATTTCAGCAGTAGCCACTCAAAACCACCAAAGATTAATGAAAACAAAAGAAGGAAAAAAATTCTTCCACTAGAGGAAGTCTATCAGTAAGAAAAGATTCCATCAACAAGGAAGAATGAATAAATTACGACGGCAGACAGTCTGAGGAAAAAAAAGGGGAAAAAACAAAGAAGGAAGCCACCTCAAAGCCTAGAGCAGGAGAATGGTGACTACAGATACAAAGAACTGGAGCCAAGACAACAACATTCAAAGAACAGAAAAAAAGAAGAATTAATGAAATCTCTAAGCAGAAATGCAAAAATAGAAGGAATCTTAAGGTGCTGATTGAGTGACACAAAATTATACACTGTAAATTTGAACAAGAAAATAAACAAGGAAAATGTTTTAATATTTCTGTATGTTCCTAAAGTTTTCTGCTAGGTGTGCTACAACTCAGGATTCAAGAGCATGCATCTCACTCCAGCTAAAACAGTCAAGACAGAGACTATTCTAGAAAGCTAGTTAGAAGAGAGGCCTCAGTCAAGCACTCTAAAGTGTCATTTAGTAAAGTGTTCAGCTCTCTGGTGAATGAACAGGAACACAGGGAGCTCCAAAAAGACACTCAGTTGTGAAATTTGAAGTTAACTGGCTAGGTATCACCTTCACCCAGTAACTGGTTGACTGATCTTTCCTTTTACCATTGAGTACAAAGCGAACAAAGGAGGGTTTAATGAAGTACCGCGTTCCTCTTCTTCTAACCAGGCACTTCAGTCTTGCCTCCAGTAGGTCTGTATGCTTACAGAAAAAGAAAGACCTCTGACTTCCACAAAATCCTGCCTTTGTTGTACTCAACCAAGCATTACCAAATTTCTCGATTTAAAGCTAAGGTGGCAAGATGAACTGTAGACTGGGAAATCAGACAAAAATGGCTCCCTGTTACTCAATCTGTTCACTTTGGCTTATCTGCTCACATGATGTCCCAAAGTATTTTGACACACTCCACGGCTGGCCGTGCTAGGCCAAGGCTGCTAGCTGGAAGCTGACAGGTACTGCCTCCCATGCACTCCGCCTTATCAACTTTCCTGGAGGCAGACGCTCGGTGCAAGGGCAACGAGATTCGCGTGAGCGTCCTAAAAAAGGCGCACACACATCAACAAGGCCACCTCGCCGAACCGCGGCCGGGGCCGGCGGGAGGGAAGGCGGGGCGGACCCCCCGCTCGGCCCGCCGTGGTCCGACCCGCAGCCAGGGAGGGCGAGAGGCGGCCCAGGAGGCAGCAGGTGCCCCCCTTACCGCCCTCCCGCAGGGCGGCTCCGGGCACGGCTCCGCCGCGCGCGGGGCCGCCCCCGCCGGCAGGTGCCCGCCCGCCCCGCCGCGGCCGCCCTGCGCTCACCCGGCCTCCCGCATGACGTTGCTGTCGCCGCAGTCGCAGGCGCCCCCCGCCTGGCTCCGGAACATGTTGTAGTCGTGCCCGGCGTGCTCGCCCTGGTGGAAGCACTCGGCGCACAGGCTCATGCAGGGCGAGATGCCGCACGTCCGGCACCGGTAGGCCACGAAGTTGGCGGTCCACACCAGGCCGCACAGCGTGGCCGGGTCGTAGGCCCGCACGGCTTGCACGAAGCTGTCCCAGGGCTCCCCGCCCGACAGCAGGCAGCGGCACCACTCCAGCGCCTCGCCCGCCGCCTCGCCGCCGCCCGGGCCCGCCGCCGGGGCCAGCACCCGCTCCAGCAGCGCCCGCAGCTCCGCCGCCGCCGCCGCGCCGCCCTCGCCGCCCAGCGCCGCCTTCAGCCGCGCCGCCGTCGCCCGTTTGTCCCGGCTGCCGGCGCCGGCCCCCGCCATGACGGGACACCGAGGGGCCGTTACGGCCGCGCCGGGCTCCGGCTCCGCGCTCCCCCCGCCGCCCTCGCTCCGCTCCCCGCCCCGCGGCGCCGCCCTCTCGCGATAGCCGCGGCACCGGCGCCCTGCCTGCCGCCCGCGCCCTCCTCCCGACACCGCCTCTCCCCTCCCCTGACACCACCCTTCTCTTCCCCCGCCCCTGCCCTCCCGCCGCCCTCCCAGCGCGCAGGTGCGCGCCCCGCGCCGCCCACGCGCGGTGTGTAGCTACTCGCCGGCCCCGAACTTCGTGTCCGGACGGGGGGTCTCGGCAGCCCCGGAGAGCGCGGAGGGCGCAGCTGGCCCGGCCGGTGGCCCCGACGTCAGCGGAGCCCGTTTGTTACCGAGCCGCGCCTCCCGCGGAGCGGGTGCCGTGAGACCCCGCGCTGCCGCCGCCGTGTCCGGGCCGCAGGGTCCCGCCGGGCTGAGGCGGTGGCAGCTTTGCGGGCCGGGGCACTGCGGGAGCTGCAGGAGGCACCTCTGAGGCTTCGGGCCGGCCGTTCCGCGCTCGCTGCCATCAGGCGGCCCCACTGGGAGCGCAGAGCAGCGCCGGGCTCCGGCAGCAGCCCCGCACCCCGGGGTGTGCGCAGACCTGCGTCCCCGTATCCCATGCGGCTGCCTGCGCACTCCCACCGGGAGAGAACGCGAGTTACCGTGCCTCACACACCGATCGGCGGTTTTAAATCTCGATAAACAGATTTTCAACTGTGCAATGGAAAACTTCAGAAGAAAAATCTGTCCCTAACGGAGAGTAACCTTCTACCCGACAGCAACGGGCCCCAAGGCAGCTGCCTCTCTTCTGGCTCTCCGCTGCTCCCTATGGCTGCCCGTCTGCCGGCGGTCTGTGTTGTGTTGCGGTTCCTTAAGGGCAGGGAGTGTGGTGCGTGCAGCGCGTCTCCCAGCAGGATCGCAGGAAGGAAAAAAAAATGGGAAAAGTAGGCAAATCTGTTACTCTTCTTTCAACGACCGCCCTTCCCACCGGCCGGGCAGAAGTCCCGTTGCTTGGGGCGCTCAGCAGCGGGACCGCCGGGGGACAGACCTGGCAGACCGGGCTGTGGCGGGCACCGAGCAGCGGTGACACGTGAGGTTGCAATAAAACGTCCCGTGTTTACAATACACGACACTGTTAATTAAACAGAGGGAGAAGTTCCGCTGCGTTTCATCCCTTCAGGTGCCCGTCAGCCTGGGAAGGGGCGGGCCGGGGGCGGTGCGGCGGAAGTTGCGCGGCCCGGCCCGGCCCGGCGGGGCTGCGGTGAGCGGGGCCGTGTGCGGGCCTGCGGTGAGAGGGGGCGGCCGCGGGCAGGGACCTGTGGGGCGGGCGAACCGGGTGGTTGGTGGCGGTCGCTGGGGCTCAGTCCCTGCCTTGCTTAGGGCTGGGTGGCAGGCGGGCGCTGGCGGTAGATGCGGAACCTCGGGGGCTGGTGGGGAGCGGGGCTGCCGCGGTTCGGCGCTCGTTCCCCGTCATCGGTGCGCCGCCAGCTGCATCCCGGGAACAGCTTCATGGAAACAACCGGGAGATGCTGCGGAATACTGGGGGATATTAAGTATAAAATAATTTAAGATAATATGTAGTTTATTTATATTATTGTAACTGATTATACGCTATTTCCTCTAGCTAAACCATAAACATGAAGAAATTAAAGCTGAAAGAACTGGAAAGCTGTCTTCAAGAAGTCGATACTTTTGACAGTCCAAAACTACTCCTTGAACAGTATCCAACAAGACCCCATATCGCAGGTAGAGGTGACCCACAGCACTGTTGTCTCTTTTGCTAGTTCATCAGCACTTTTAATTAAAAAGGTTTTTTTCTACTGCGTTATCTCCTTTGAAGACCTTACATTAAAAGTAGTTAAGAAATTGTATCCAACAGGAATGTAATTATTTAGAAGTATATTGGTGTGCAAGCCAAAAATCAAATAAACTGATTTAAAAGATAATGTGATAGAAGCCTCTTAATCTGTAACTGCGAAAGCTGACTTGGACTTATTTCATGACACATAAAACCAATAAAAGTGTATATAGAGACACTCCTTCATACCTTAATTGTGATTTTTTCAATATTTTACATCCTTCTATTGTTTTTCCTCAAACAAATATAGAGGCATACTTTTTCCACAAACAATACTCAAAGCTCTATGTGTAATCTCTCCAGCAAAGACCCAGAGTTCTACAACTCATCAGAATGTTTTTGACTCTTCACATATAAATGAAAAAGAGAATTACAGGCAGTGAGAATATCAGCTTAATTTTGCATTACAAGAAACCTTTAGTTAAGTGTTTTCTGAAGGCAGGTGTCGCTTTCCTTGATTAAACAGGTGTATATTTGATATTATTGATCTTTGTTGTTTGGATTTTTTCCCCAGCATGTATGCTTTATACAATTCACAATACTTTTGATGATATTGAAAACAAAACAATTGCAGATTTAGGATGTGGTTGTGGCATGCTCAGCATTGGAAGTGCAATGTTAGGAGCAGGGTAAGTATTTAATGCTATGTTCTGGTTATGTTTTTTTCTGGCATAGAACAGTAGAAAGTAAGATTAAAACATAGCAGTGCTGAACTACACTCATTTTAAGTATATAAGCTGGTGCATAATCAGGCTATTAAATAAGTTCTGAGTGTCAATAACCATTCCTACTGTGAAAGTGGTGGACAGTTGTCATGAATTCTGAATATTTAATATTTGCTTTCCCTTGAAGCACTAAATAAACCCATGAAACTTCCTTAACAAAATTAGAGTTATATTTGAGAAATGGCAACAGAACTATTTGAATTTTTATCAGCACTGAATTTATAATGTATGCTTGTTACATTTCCTAGATAAAACAAGTTGTGTACAAGAATCCCTTTCAAAGCTTTAGTTTGTAGGAGACTAATATGTGACACTTTTTTTTTAATAGATTCTGTGTGGGATTTGACATAGATGCAGATGCACTGGAAATATTTAATAGCAATATTGAGGACTTTGAGCTCACGAACGTCAACATGGTTCAGTGTGACATCTGTTCTTTATCTGGTAGCATGTCAGATGCTTTTGACACAGTTATTATGAACCCTCCGTTTGGTACCAAGCATAATAAAGGTTGGTAATTCTGAGAATCAGTTAGAAATTATTACAAACAAAATAGCAAGGGAAATGCTTTTAATGAAACATCTCCCTTTGTTAGCTAGCTATTCTAGTTACCTAGCATTTTGTTGATCAGGAATCAGCTTCCTAAGTACAGATTAACAACTTCAACATTGTAGCTAACAGTCACTGGATTTGAAATAAACAATACTAGCTATTTCATATCCCTAGCATTTTTATCAAAAGCAATTGGGAAAGATTTAGAAATTCTTTCTGTACCCTAATGTATTCAGTGCTGTTTCTCAAATAGATATTATTCCAGAAAAAAATGAAGCAAATATTTAAGCTTCCATTTAACAGCGCTAATAATTCCATCATTCTTTTAGGAATTGATATGATTTTTCTGAAAACTGCTCTGCAAATGGCAAAAACAGCTGTATATTCCCTTCACAAAACTTCAACACGGCAGGTAAGTCCTTCGTTTTAGTACGGCAAGCATTAACCAGACAAGAAGACAACAGGATAGCTGGCATTTAATGATGACGTCTGTAGCTTCAAATTTACCTATATCTGTTTAATATTACAGCACATTCAAAAGAAAGCAGATGAATGGGAAGTGAAGATGGAAGTCATAGCAGGTAATATTAGTTTGTTGTTAGCGGAAAAAAACACCCCAACCTTTTGTTTGGGGGGTAATACCTATAACACTACTAGCCAGTCATAACAGCCTGAGGTAAATTTACTTGTGATTTAACACTGAAATGGCACAGGTCTTTTATTTTTTAAGCAGACTTTTTGTTTTTTCATATCTTGGTACCTGGGTAGAATACAAGCAGGCACTTAATAAAGCTTTGAGGAATACATACTCTGTGCAGAAATAGGCTTCTTCCTGGACTAGATTTTGTCTTCGGGATAGGTTACCTCCCTTCCTGCTTCAAAAGGAGACAGTTGCCAAAAAACAAAAGCAAAGCACAGGTCAGTTCTCACACAAAAAAGCATCCTGTCCTTAGTCACCTAAATATTTTTGGCAGTTGTGTAAATATCTTCCTTATTCTTAAATACCACTAGCTGGAGGCTTTATGCAGTCATGGAACTTAAGACATGAAGTTGCAGAAGTACAACTACACAACTGCATTTCAGCCATCCACTTTAGCTGCCTGATCTGGACAGCTTAAATGTTCAGTCATCGTCTAGTCCAGATATCCAAACTGATCACAACAGGCCACAACAGAGGTGGGCATTGGAAACAGAAGTATATGGAGGTAGGGTTTAAGTGACCAATAATCATACTAGTCTAACAAGTATTCTTTGTACTGTTCACAGAACTTAGATTTGACCTACCAGCATCATACAAGTTCCATAAGAAGAAATCAGTAAGTATAAAACCTAACTGAGCAAATGCTGCAGTAAATAAATTCTCCTTATGAAAATTCAAGTTTTAGGGCCATATGTACTGGATGAGGAATGCTCACAGCAGTTGAGACTTCACTCTGAGAGCATCAGGTTCCATTACTGTTACTACATTTTGTAGCTGAACAATGAAAAGAATCATTACAATGCCAGTCAAAGCTATACACAAAGATTAGAGCCAACACTGCAACTAGAGGTGATAAGCTAAGGGTAGCCTCCTTGATTCACTCCTAATAGCCATTTGCTTGATCCTATCTGCAACCAGTAATTAGACTGAACTAAATGCTGAAGGCCAGAACTGTTACAGCTGTAGCATTGTTTCAGTGTTCTGTGCTCTCTAGAGCCAGTATTGCAAATAGCTACAGCCAGTGAAATTGCTCAGCCATCCTGGGGGGAGCAGAAGGAAGCAGTGGACTTCATCCAACAATTAGAAATCTAGCCAGGACACTCAAGTATGGAAGGTTAAGCCTTAAGCCCAGAGGCACGTTCCTGGGTACTGAATGCTGGGCTGGAAGATGTGTATCCCCTCCATTACAATAGAGGAAGTAGAGAGGAGACTGAGCAATATTTGAAGACTGTTAGGTATGCTGAGTAGTAAAGACTAGAAGCTTTATTCAGCTGTACCTATGCTCTTGGTGACTTGAACTTAAAATAGTGAAGTCTGTCCTTTATCTTTGCTACTTGAGAGTTACAGTGTTATACTACATTAACCAGACTTTAGTAGTAAGGACTTTTAAGTTCTGAATTTATTGCCAGCTGCTGTTCAACATAAGCACAAGATTACAAAGTCCAAAACCTTTTACATTTGAATGAAATGCCAGAAAAATCGAGAGGATCTGACAGTATAAACAAAACTATAAATATAAAAGTTTTCCAGGATTGTATGTTAGGAGTAAGCATGCTTCTTAAACAAAAGAAAGCTGTAACCCAACAAAATGAAGCTTTTCTCTACTTGTAGGTTGACGTTGAAGTGGATTTCATTAGATTTTCTGCCAAGAAACTCCTGAACTGAGGCATGTCTTTAAAACCTATTGAAAATGGAACAATAAAACCGCTAATTTTTTAAAATTTTTATTTATTTTAGTATTACTAATTGCCACCTCCATTTTCTGTTTTCAGTTGTTTTGGTGCAGGTTCTTCTTTTTCCATTTCCTCTAGTGGTCTCTTCTTGGGACTTGCTGGTTCTGCAAGATTGAATATGTGGTCATTTAGGGTAAAGGAAAGCATTACCTGAAATCTGAAAAAAACAAACCCTACCATGTAAGTTCAAGGATGAGTCCTAGTTATCTACAGCCACTTCTACATTAGAGGGTTTACTTATTACTGTGACTTAAAGCTTTTAGATGTTCTAAAATCCCAGTATAACTCCATAGCAGGAAGACAGGTAAGAAAATAAAGGAATACAATCTACCAGGAGGTTTCACTGGATTTTAGTTAAACAGGTGCCATATACAATGAACAGAAGCTTAGCTCTTGATCTTCTCCAAGCTAAATACTGGCAGGCAGAACTATTAGTCTTCTCATATCCTCAAGGGAAAAAAAAACCCACCACTCAAGACACTGGGTCTGTACAGTTGTGTAAAGTAGCCGATAACCACCACCTTTCAATGCAGAATGCTTTGTACAGCCCTGCAGTAAAGCCTTACCTATCTAGTAATTATCTAAGTATGCTTTTTGGACAGTTCTGGAAGGAATCACGCACAAGACTCTTAAAGTTACTTCACTGATACTGACACGAGGGCAGAAATACTACAATGCAGAGACAAATCTGAAACACTTGTAAGAAACATGAGTACTTCTCTAGAAAGTAGCTCTATGTACTAAAGAAGCTGCATCCAGTGCACAGAATGACATACCTGTTTTAGTATCATCTTCACCACCTTCTTCTTCATTATCAAACTTAATTTTCTTGCCCTGAAACTGTACTTTTCCTTTTTGTGCACCCTGAGGTATTTTTCCTCCTCTTCCTTTTCCTTTAATTTTGCGCCCTGTGGAGATACAAGATCAGGAACTTCGTATTATTTTCTTTTAATGGGCAAGCTCAAAGGAATACTTTACAGTTAAGTCAGTCTGTAGTATATATTCACTACTTGGAGTGCCAATTCTAGGACATTATACAGGCTTAAATTCATAAAAGAAGGGAGGACCTTTTGTTTTCTGTTTCAATAATTCTTGCTGATCTTCCAATATTTTTTTCAGAGCTTCTTTCTCTGCATCTCCTTCTAGCACTTCCCATGCAACATCCTTGTTCCGAAGCTGTAAGTTTCCGTTATGTGCTGTTTTGGCTTTTTCCAGAGCATCTTTGGCAATATCTTTAAACAGGATAATTCCCTTAAAAAGAAGAGTGGCATCTGCATTTGAGTCTTACTGCAAAAACATTCAGCTAGAATGATGAACAACATACCCCGTTAAGTACCTCAGCAAATTCATTACTCTTGCATGACATAAAACATGTCTAGACTAAACCAAAGCCCTTAGGCTGTCCTAACAAACATTCTCAGTTTTGGCCTTATCAACTAACAAGGCTGGAAACTTTATCTGTTCTTTTGAAAGAATTCAAGGAAATAATTTAATTCTGTAAATATTCTGAAATTTCACAAGACAATAGTCTACTCGATTACATAAGAAAACAAACATTTAATCATTCATCTTTGAAGTTCAAGACAGAGATCTTAAGTCCTTGTCTAAGAGTCTACTGACCTCCTTTGCACCTCTGACAAAGTGTATCCACTTGATTTCTCCATGACCAGAAAATACAGCATGGAGGTCTTCTCTGCATGTTTGGTCATCTAGATCACCAGAAAACTTCAGAAGACATCCTGTCTTTTCTTCCAGTGACTTCTAAATGAAATAAAAAAGATCCTACAGTTTCATTGAAGAGTCAAGCTTGAACATTCATATTTTCCTCCTCAATCCTCAAACTATTAAATATGATGATAAATAAGCAACTGAAGTTACAGTAACTAGCATTTTTGCTATATAACTTAGTTATACTGATGTCCAAGTCTTGCACAGTGTGTCCCCCCTCCTTTTTTGAGTTTTCTTTGCTTACTAGGATACACTTATGTGAAACTTAGGACTTCTTTTCCATAAGAGAGTTACACTCTTTAAATTCTACAAAACAGTTTTCTGAAGGCTGATACCTCAGGTAGAAAAAATATAATACTGATTAAATTCTTAATGAATCCTTTAAATACTACAAGAGAACAATCATCTCAACGGTGCTTTCAGGATCACATCTGAACCAGTAAACAAGCCTAATAATTTAAATTTAGGACATGAGCCTTCAAACAAAATAAATCTATTGAAAATAAGATTAAACATCATGACAAAACAGTCTTACTGTAGGTTAGTTGGAAAAGCTGAAGTGATTTTCTAGAAAGTGCTCTATGTTATAGAATTTCAGAAAGAATATCCCATGTTAGCTTTACAAAACGTAGGTACAGGACCATGTTGTGCATGGATTGAAAATACATACAAAAGCAAGCATTGCATATTTTCCAGGTACAGAGATTTAAGAAAAGAAACCCATACCATTTCAGCATCTGCTGCTTGTTTCTGTTTCTCTTCTTTTTCCCTGCAGAAAAGTTAAATTAGTTATGAGTCAGTTCAGGTGTGGTCAGGCAAGCAAAATCAGGCACTTCAGTTGATAATGACTTACTGCTTAGCTCTTGCTTTTGCTTCTACTTTGTTTTGTTTCCTTTCTTCATTCTTCTTTGTACAGTACTCCTCCCTTCAATTGAATATAAGCTAAGTTAATATAATTTAAGGTATTCTGTTATAATTACTTTATAAGACAGCAGTAGACAAGAAAGCGTTGAAATGATTTTTCCGAGTTGAGGTGCTAGTCTCCAACAGGTACAGCTATCAATACCTGTGCAACAGTTTAGAAACTTACACTTCTCAGGTCAAGCCAGGCTCTTCCCTAAATCCACCCTTTACCATTATTAGTTCATTTATCAGTTAAGAGGACTTACTTGAAAAGTACTATCAGCTCTGTGTCTTTGTACTTTTGATTTGGTATCTCTGTGAACTTCTTAGCAGATTCAACACTATCAAAAACTGCAAATATTGAGCCCTGTTAAATTGCAAGAGACATTGAATGTTAGAGTAATTGAACAGAATGCTGTCCAGGGAGGATCCCTGCCCCAGGTCTAAATGTTCATTGCAAGAGTTACCTTAAATGTTCTCTGCAATGTTCTCCTCATCTGAATGTTTTCAACTGGACCTTTATCTTCAAGCCATTCTTTGATATCATCAAGAGTAGCATCTAGTGGAAAGCCTTTCTGCAAGATAGCAATGAGCTTCAATTATATTCCACAAACTGACTCAGAAATTACAACCTATTTGGTATGAGTTAATTCAAGCTTTACTCAGATGGCTTTCAGTCAAAGTCATGCAGAACAGCACAGAGTAAAGGAAGAAATTTACTTACAACATATACAGATCTGTTTTTAATTGCAGCCTTATACTGGTCATTTAATTCAGGAAGGGGTTTATTTGGAGATCTTCTGATTTTAGTTTTGTCTTCATTTATTTCCATTAAACCAGTCTTGGATTTTCTTAGTGCTTCTACAATAACACTAAAATCTTTTGAAAGGCGACTTAACCTATTGAGTAAGCAGACACAGGTTATTACAAATACACAGGCAGAGCTGAAGCCAGATGTTAAAACAGTGTTAAAACAACACCAGAAACACTTGGCTACAAACAGAGATAAGTAGCTAAAAGTTACTTTTCTATCCACATTAATTGTACTTTGTTTTACCTGTTGAATTTGATCATTACTTCTAAAGGTACCCAGCCATCATCTAGTTTGATCTGTTCTTTTAGGAACTTGTCTCTTGGTAGATTGTGATTGCCAAAATAGTACTGCAGAAAAGAAGGGAGAGGAAGAGGAAAAAGAGATTTGTCCTGAAATATTCAGCCTTAAAAGCTCATTTTCATCTGACAGCTTACTGCAGTCGATTGAGACATACCAAAAGTAATTACTCTGAATAATTAAGAATTCTGAAATTATTACTTCCTGCTTTAATGTGATACTTTGCCAAAAGTTAGCTGCAACATGGAAGCTGTAAAAACAAACAAACACACAATCTCCCGAAACAAATGCCACAGCAAACCAGTGCTTCATCCAATGAGACTAATGAGGCAAAGATAGACTGCAGTTTTGTTTAGGAAAGGAATGAAGCTTATTCTGTTAACATCATAAGCATCTATCACCCAGATCAGGCTCTGCAGAGTCAAAAGTCAAATTTGTCACCAACAGATTCAGGTTTTACTCCTTATTGAAGGAATGTACAAGCAAGAATATGGTATTTTCACACTGAAAAATCATATACATAAACTGGACTTTCTAGGTCTCATTCAACAAAACACGAAAAGAATAAAAAATTGTTATTTTAAATTTAATCTTTATTTTTAATTTTATTTAGTTACTGTGTCCTTATTTTGATCTTGTCCAGCATGGGAAGAGAATTCAGTTCAAGGCAGACAGGCTAATCAGATTCTTCTGCCATCTAGCAGTCATCTAACTAGTGTCAAATACTTGAAGCCGTAGGATAAGTTGAAATGTTTCCACCAATGTCATAGTGCCTTAAAAAGTCAGTGCAGGTTTTACAACAACACCTCTCCCTCTAGTGTACCTCAAATTCAAATTACCAGAAGTCTAGTTTTGCCAACTACCTTTTCTCAATCTCTGTGTTTTGTTTGTTATATATAAATAATGGCTTCATAGGGTATTGAGCATTCATGTGCAGCTATACTTTTATCCATCAGAAAAACAGTTTTGTTCTAGATGTTAAGTTATGGGCTCAGTTTTTTTTTGTTGGAGGGTAACCCTCCAAGCCTCTAGAGAGAGAAATAGTTAATCCAAAGCAGGCATGTAAGTTTAGTTGTAATTTTTAGCAATAAATTACAAAGCAGTAAATCACAATAGCAAGTTATGCAACGTGTGAATATTTTGACCGGCACAGATTCTTAAGTAGGAGGATTTTACCCCCCAAAAAATTAAGGCATATAGAATTAAAATTCAACCTTCTCCTATTTGCATAGATAGAATAACCCCAGCAACA